ACCCTCACATCCAACATATATATATATATATATATATATATATATATATATATATATATATATTTGTATTTATATATTTTATATTTATATATTTACACGGATATATATTTTTATTTGTATATAAATATAATTTATTTATAAACTATTTTCAAAAATTCCTAGTAGCTAAGTGGTTGGAGTATCGAGTCTCTAATTCTAAAGTACTTGGATTCGAATCCTGCTAGTAACAATTCTTTCAATCTAATAATAATTCAAATTTCTAAAAAATATATTATAAAAGGGATTTATAAAAACATATTTTTTAATGTTTTTTTTAGTGACCGATTTGGGTTGGTTACTATTTCGGTCACTATTTGATGTTTTTGTTGTAGTGTATATTATTAAAAAAATTGTCTCCCCTCTCTTTAATTTTTCTTAAAAAACACTCCTATCATCTTTAAATTTTAAATAAATGTATTTGCTTCTTTTCTATTTTAATAAGATTATATACGCACCTTTATTTTAATTTTCTAAAATGAAATAAGACAATAACGTTCATTTTCTTATCACTCCATCCTTTACATTTTAATTGTCAAATTTTTAAGAAAATTATTTTTTTACATTTCATTTTCAAAATAACATTTATTTGTTCAATTACACTATTTTTATATATTATAAACTTTATTAACTGTTTTATGACAAATGAGAAAGTATGGGAAGAGTACTCTTTTTAAACAGAAATCATGGAAATATTTTTGTTTTTTTTCTGCATATGTGAATATTATTTAAGAAGGTATTAGAAGTACCAGGTTCAAAACAGAATCAATAAAATAATAATATTAAATTAAATTAAATTATTTATTATATTTAAATGTTATATTATATATAATAAAAAAATATTAATATATTTATATTTATAGTATATTTGTATCATAACTTTTTATTATAAAATTATATAATTTATTTATATATAAAATAAATAAAAATTATGAATATATTAATTATTATATAATTTTTTAATATATATTTATTATTTAAAATAACTATTATAAAATATTTAACAATATTTTTTATAAAAAGTCTTTTATAATTTTAATTTAAAATAATTTAACAATAAAAATAGTAAAATAATTAATTGAAATTAAACCGTAATATTGATTTCATTTTATTTAAATTTTATATTAAATTAAAGCAAATTGAAACATATTTTTTAATAAAACACCAAATAAAATTATATAACCTTTTTTTCTATTATCTATTTTGAAAAAACTCGATTTCTTAACTGTATTCTAAAAAACTTATCATTATTAACTTTTAGTAATTTATATATATTTTAATCCCTTAATTTACTGAAATTATGACCAATTAAAATTTTAAAAACAGATAATATATTTTTTAATGATAAAATTATAATAAATTAGAACTACAAATCAAACAGACAATACTCATGATTGTCATATTTTGATGCAAGAGATATTGCATGTAACTATTCGTGGAATCTTGCAACAAAATATGAGACAAGCTATAACTCAATTGTGTGCATTCTTCAATTTAATTTGTAGTAAAGTAATTCACCCAAAAAATTGAATGTATTGGAAAAGGAGATTGTTTTTATTGTATGTTAGTTGGAGATGTTTTTTCCTCCATCTTTTTTGATATAATGGTGCATTTGCTTGTACATTTGGTTAGAGAAATAAGATTGTGTGGTCCAATTTATCTAAGATGGATGTATCCAATTGAACGTTATATGAAGATTCTAAAAGGTTATGTTAAAAATTATTATCGTCCAGAGGCCTCTATAATCGAGAGATACTTTGCAGAAGAAGTCATTAAATTTTATTCGAAGTACATGTTAAAGAAAAATCCTATAGGATTTCCATCAAACTCTTAGCACAATAGATGATCAACAAGTAAATATTTACGAGGCGTTCATGTAGTAACCAAATCGTGTGACGAAGTTCTTTAGACACATTTGCATATATTGAACAATATAGATGAGGTAATTCCTCACTTATTTGCTATTAAAGCCATTATCAAAAAGAATAACCCAAGACAACCAAAGAAATGGGTGTTGATGCAGAACAACAATACATTCATGACATAGTTTAGAGAGGAAATCATGAAAGATTCGACAACATCTGAAACATTACATGGTTAGCAAATGGACTTAAATTTGATGTCTTATATTGTACCGGATATGATATTAATAATTATTCCTTCTATACAAAGTCTTTGGATGATAAAACTACAGTTCAAAATAGTGGTGTGACTCTTGAAACAAAGTCCATGCAGTTCTGTACTTCTAAGAATCAAAATCCTATTATTAGATCAATGTCGTATTGTAGTGTAATTGAGGATATTTGGGAGGTTAGTTATACTAAGTTTTCAAGTGTAAGTAGGTTGACAATAAAAATGATATGAAGATAAATGAATAAGAAATTATGTCGGTTGATTTATGAAAGATAGGACATCAGGGTGAATCATTTATCATGGCACATCAAGTTTCACAAGTGTTTTATGTCAAAGATTTTACTTCTTCTGAACATTGGTTAGTTATTCTTCATTGAAAAAACAAGATTTTTCTCATGAGAATAAACAAGTTAATCTTGACATTTGTCACACTCATTTATTCACATCAACTATGATTACTGAAATCGATCAAAATGATGTTATTAATGATGTATCATGATGAAGGAATATGCATATGTATGGATATATATTAATTTTTTTATGTAAAAACTTATAATTATTATTAAATTATATCTAACAATTTCTTTATAATTATTACTTATAATCATTCAACCATTGGGTAATAAGAAGCCAGAGACACAAACATACATCACAAATAGTTTTTTATCGGGAAAAATATTTATTTTGCACCATATGTTTATGAGTAAGTAAATTATCTTTATAGTTTATCTTTAATCAATTCAAATTTTAACTAACTTCAATATGTTTCAATGTATAATCATCATTGGCAATTGCTTATAACATTTATTATTGACAACACGACTACATGATTTTGTTCATTACATAAAAAGCCACAACTATACCTTAAACAAATAGCAGATTGGTAACAAAATTTGGTTGTTTTATAGAAATTATACTACACTTATATTTTATATGTTTTAACTAAGTGTAAATGTTATTAATGTTTATTTTGGATATAACATAATGAACGGTAGGTTAAGTGGAAGACCACAAAAGCTCATGTGGTTGCATCTAAAGTTATAATCTATGGTATTTATTTTTGTTTATTTATGTTACTAACAAACTAATTTAATTTCTATATTTTGAGAAATAGTGTAACAAATAAATTGGAGGATATGAGTGTGGTTACTATGTAATGCAATGGATGACAACCATATCTAAGTAGGAATAGATAGAGGTTGCGATCAAGTAAGACGATTAATATTTATTTAAGGATGATTAGGTATCATAATGATACTTGTGAAAAATTATTTACCATATTGTAGTTTTTTATGGACACATCGCCCATGGATACAAATGTCATACATTAGATTAGATGCACATAGGCAAAATATTTCATTAACACGATTAATACATTATGATAACTTAGTTTCATGACTTTATGGTTGAACCTTAGGATAATTAACTGATTATTTTTATACATTTAGGGTAGTTACTAATCATACTTGTAGGATTTATAATGACTTTATAGAATTTTAGTAAAACTAATATTAGATAGTAAGTATTGTATATATTTATGATTCTATATGTATTGTAAATATGTCCGTAATTTGTAAAATATTGTATTGTGTATTTTGAATATGCAGAAATGGAAAAAAGCCTAATACAAATTACTCTTTTAAAAAAAATAAGATACAATGATGGTTAATACATAGTCGTTATCATATATATGTTTGACGCAAGGTTTCAAGAATAAGTATGGTCATACCTTTTGTTGTATGTAAGGGATACAAAGACAAGTCTTAAACCGACGTAAACCAAATTTAACTGTTATTAATGGTCATTACTATAATGTACATATGTTGTGATATGTCAATTTGTTGACGACGTACAACCATGGAAGAAGGGGACAATAGGCATGGTCATGGTAAAAATAAATATTCTTTTAAAATTTTACTAAAAAAATATATTATAATTTTTTTTAAATTATTTGTTTAAAATAACATCTTAAATTAATTTTCTGATTTTGTCTCAGTATAATTATTGAGTTATAGGAGATATTTGATGTGAGTCTCATTTTTAAATATTGAGATGAGATGAATATAATGTTAAGTGAAAGTTATTCATGAATAAACTTTGAGAAGTTTTTATATTCTAACTTTATATATATATTATGTGTTGTTATACTGTGACGACAATGAGATAAAAATAGATTATGTAATTAGTGGTACATCATCTTAATAATAAGTTGATGATAAATGAGACAAGAAATTAATTTAATATATTTTTTTGTTATTTTAATATATACAAGGAGATATAAAATTATACTAATATATTTTGTGATACATAATAGGATAGTTAGATATCTAACCTTTTTTTTAATCATGACCTAAATTTTAATAACTATTTTATTTATTGAAGTGGTTTTTACTTTGAAAACTGTCTTTTAATGATAAAATTATAATAGATTAAAACTTCAAAACAAATAATACATTCTTTCTAATAAAATGATTGGTTTATTTACACCTTTCTAAAATAGATTTTATTATTTTTATTTTTTAAAATTAAAAAATATTTAAAATTATTAAAAAATAACTAAAGAATAAAATTGATACAAGATGCTTTTGTTTTTATTGATAGATATTAATTTTTTATTAATAATCACGTTAAATTATTCATTTTTATTAAAAAATTAATTTGAAGTATTTAAAATATTTGAATTTTTATTACTATGACTGAATGGATGTTTACATATAAGGAATTGATGTCAATTCTCTCTCATAAACAAATGCATGCATGTATGCATGTGTAGTTGCTAAAACGAACGTGTGGTTAATAATAACAACAAAAACCTAATTCCTCCTCCACGATTACAGCTTGGGCTTCTTAGAAATGGTGTCCATCAAGGCGAGGCAATTGCCGCCTAAATGGAAAAGCTTGGTGGAGTCCTGGGCGAAGGGCATGACGACTCCGGGAGACTCTTGGATAGCGTCGTCGCAGGAGGATTTGAAGGATAACACGACGTTGAATTTGTTGTTAGCCTCCACCAGGTTCTTCTTGGCCAACTGATCCAGGGTCTCCTTGATGCTGTCCAACATGTCCCCGTACTGAGACTTGCAGATGCTGAGCGCATCCTTGGCGTTCTTCGCGGTGGCGGGATCGACTAGCTGTTTGGAGATAATGCCCGCGATCCGTGTGGCTTCCTGGAGGGTGGCTTTGATCTCGGCCTCCAGGGCCTTGACGGGGTCGAAGGGAATGGTGGCGAAGGGGGCGATGGTTTCTGCGCAGAGGGTTGGGTTCTCGGTGCCGATACAGAATTGATTAATCTCGGGGCTGATAACCGCGGCTAGAAGGGTGCGAACGGGACGGCTGGAAGGCACGGCGGTGGTTGTGGATAGGAGGAGGCAAGAGAGGACTCCGATAAGGAGAAGGGTTTTATTGACTACGAAGCAATCCATTGTCTCTCCTCTTTCCAAATAAGCTTATTCTCGGAGGAAAAAGCTTGTTTGTAGAGAGGAGAGAATGGAATAAAACTTGGTGATTGTGTCTATGGATGGGGTTTTATAGCTGAGATTTTCCAAGATTTGTTTTCTTCTTATTCCATAAATAGAACGCCACTAGTTTACCGGATAAACTTTTCTAAAATGGGTAAACTTTGCGGTTGTTCTATGATGTTTCGGATGTAAAAAAATCAATTTCAACTATGGAATAACTGCCCTTACTCTTATTTGGACGAGAAATTTATAAATGAAAGTTTGTTTTAATAAAATATTTTAACTATTTTGTGATAAAATTAATTGTTTGGATACAAAATTTAAAAAATAATTAAAATTTTATAAATTGATGGATATATTTTGATTATTTAAAATAAGATAATTGTTAAAAGATTTCGTCTTTTTTCTTTTTCAAAATTTTTGTTTTTTTTTTATATCTTTTATTTGACATCGAGTTATTTTCAATTCATTTTGATGGGTTTCTAGATGGTTTGACATAGATAAACAACGTAAGTAGGACTCAACCCATTTTAACTTGTTTAAATAATATGTTTTGACCATCATGGAACCATCTTGAACTATTATTCTTGATCTAGTGCATTCTATCATGACCTAACCTATATTAACTTGGTCCAACCCATTTCGACTTTATCTTATCCTACTTCAATCTACTTCAATCATTTCTGATCAAGTTTGACCCCCTATCTAAAGTAGGTCTGGTCCATCTTACTCCAACCAGTTAGAAAATTCAAATGTGAGTTTAAGTCTCACGTTGATTTAGAATAAGAAGATTAAGTAACATATAAGACTCATCACAACCTATCCTAACTTGACTCATATTGGTCTAACACGATTCATCTTGATATGATGTTTTCTAACTCTACACATTTTGTCTTGTCCTAGTTCGATCTATTTAATCTTAATTTGTCCTATTCACTTACGATTCAACTTACTCATTTGAACTCAATTTGACTCGACATGATCCTATTTGTCCTAACCTAGCCTAATTCACCTGAACACAGAACAAGACTTGACTTATCCCACTTGTCAATCTAATCTAACTTACCCAAACTTTCTGACCTAATACAATTTGTCTTGGTCGGACTCTAACCTTACTAGTTTTGATTATCCTTATTTCACTCGACTCGATATACTTTGTCATGATTTGTCTTAGTCCAACTTTATCCATATGGATAAGGTCAAATACTATGAGTTGGATTCAATTGATAATTTTTATATTTATAGTAATTAAAATATTTTATCAAAAAAATAAATAAATTTCATTAAATTTGAATTATCTTATTCAAATAAATCATTTAAAAATTAAATAATTTTAAATAAAAATAATTCAAATTTAGTGCATTGAATTTTCAATAAATTGCAAAATACTTTATCCAAACACTATTAATTTTACTAAAATTTTAATCATGTTTTATTTTATTATATTAGTTTAATATATATTTTTAATTAAGACATAATAAACTTTTTCTCTATGTAAAATGATTAAATTATTTTTTATAATTTCAATAATATGTAAAATATATATAAATTAAAAGTTAATTTTTAGAAAACTATATATAATTCTGATAAAAGTTGTCATTTAAAGATAATTTATATTATACTGTATCATTATATAATTGTTTATCGTTATTTAATTATATTATAACACTTCATATAATTATAATTTATCATATCTTATTTTATTGTGTTGTTATCCTATTATATTATTTTATTTTATCTTATTGCACGAAACAAACACTCAAATTAAATCTCTAAAGACTAGAATTTTTAAAATTCATTAAATACTACACATGTGACATTTGGATGTGGAAACCCTAACTCCCCCCTCGATTCTCTCTATATTATTTTGTTTTCCCTGGCACCATCACGTGTGACAACAAACTAGCTAGGTATTATTTGCCTTGCCTTCATAATGGCTGCTAACTAAACTATTGATCTGCAGGGAACCGCCGTTAACTATCCAGCTTGTAATTATATCATCATATCCCTACAGATCTTTGCAACATTCAGGTTGTGAGAGTAGAATCATCACAAACTCTAAAGCATGTTATGGTTAAAGGACTCAAACGGGAATATAATTTAAAATTTTCATCTTTAACCCAAGCAATGTTTAGATTGACCTTGTATCAATGAAAAACCGTACAGGCAATGGAAGTTATTACAATCGTGTTGCATAGGTTGAAAACTATGAAATAAGCCACCTTGTGTCTCGATTATTATATATAAAAGTGGTGCATCATTAACATTTTATTTTATTTTTGAGTCTGCAACTAATTTTGAAAGGAACTTAATTGAATCCAAACCTGCTAGAAATAGAGATGTCAGTAACTTAACCTTCCAAAACCAGCTTCTAATATAATGGTTATGTCATTCCTATGTTGTGGATACAAGATTTCAACGATTCACAGTATGCTAGCTACACAGGATTGGCGTGTAGCGGACTCGTATTAAAGCCCGAGTTAACATTGGCTACTAACAATACTATGCGTCGTTGATGATTGATGATAGTGAAACTATGTAGATAAAAATATATTATAATTAAAAGGCTTTTGATGCCAATCTGTAAAAACAAACTAGAATACACATATATACAAAATTCCTCCACGCATGAAAACACTGTCTCCTAGGGGATGAAAGATGGTGATAAACCGAGGAGGATGGTAAAAGCGACCACAGAAGAATCCTCTCTAACCAGCAACAACACCAAGAAACCTTCAATCACTTGAAAGAAAACATCACCAGTTGTGTTCCTCCCTCAGCCATGGGAAAGAAAACTTCTCAAAATCATGGTGTGAAAACCTCTGGGTCCAATATTCGTGGTTAGCTTGCTTTTCCAAGTACTCTCATCGCCCTTCATGAAGATCTTCAGAGAAAACAGCTGTCCTCGAAATGTTGTCATAGTCAAAGGCACTTAGACCAGAGTAAGGACCCGAAGAAAACATTGAAGAAGTCCCATCAGACTCATATGTGGTAGAGGACTGTCTCATGTTGGGCCGTGTATTGGATGAGGCTAACACGGGATCATGACTTTCTGTGATCCGCTGCACCATTTTAAGTGACTGTACCACCTCACCCATTGTAGGCCGCTGGCTTGCTTCAGGAGCAACACAGGCTGCAGCAATAGTGCAAACACGTACAAAATCTTCTTTTGGGTACCTTCCCCCAAGCCTTGGATCCGCAAGTTCTTCCAACCGGTCCTTTTCTCTTAGAATGGGCCTTGCCTGAAAGGGATAACCTCGTAAATTATTGTCTAATCAATATAAATAAAACTTCAACTGAAAATTTTGAACTTAACGATGAAATGCCAAGGTATGAATCTAACCCAAGTAACAAGGTTCTCTTGTCCAGTTGGCTGTGACATATCCACTGGTTTCCTTCCGGTCAATAGTTCCAGCAAGACAACCCCATAACTATAAACGTCACTTTTAACAAGTAGATGTCCAGTCATAGCATACTCAGGAGCTACATACCTATATAAAAGTTTGATTTCATCTTAAAACTAAATTATATGGAAATAATAATATCATACAAGAAAGAATAGAATGAGACAAACCCAAATGTGCCCATGACTCGAGTAGATAGATAATTAGCTCTGCCTTCAGGTGCCTGTTTAGCTAGACCAAAATCTGCAACTTTAGCATGAAAGTTGTTCTCAAGCAATATGTTGGATGCCTTGAAATCTCTGTGTATAACACAAGGCTGTGAATCTTCGTGCAGGTATGCAAGTCCTCTTGCAGCATCAAGGGCAATCTTCATTCTAGTGTCCCAATCCAAAGGGCAATTTATTCCCAGGGGACCTAGGACAAATCCCGGCCAATTTCAATTTAGCATAATATAATAGTTTCAGAAACAACATCATTGTGATCTTCGAATAAGAAAACATGTAAAGTCAAGACTACAAAGCTGATTTGAGAAGTTATATTACCATGAAGCCATGCCTCCAAACTTCCATTCGGGACAAGCTCATAGCAAAGTAGATTTTGTGATGCGTCACGATTACTATAGTATCCCACTAGTTTTACAAGGTTACGATGATGCAACCGACTAAGCATCTCAACCTCAACCAAAAATTCTTTGTCACCCTGTTGCCCTCCACTAGTAAGTCTCTTAATTGCAACAGCAGTTCCATCATTCAAGACACCTTTAAAAACTCTACCAAAACCTCCTTCTCCAAGTACGCTTGCTAGTTCAAAATTATTTGTAGCTTCTTTAAGTTCTTCATAAGCAATAAAGCGTGTACTGGTTGGATGTGGAAGAGACCCAATGGCTGGAACTGTACTTTCTGTCCTTGGCTTTTCTGTAGAAAGGAGGGAAAACCTCAGTAGCAGACCAGGAAGACAAATTACTAACACAAAAACAATCAATAGATAAGAGCACCATAAGTTTCGGTACTTTCCTTTCAATCTGAGTTCATAATGGACGACGTCTCATTTCTCCATAAATATTAAAATTTGAATCACATGCATTTTTACATTTTAATTGCTGACAAAGGTAAACTCATGCAGAAGAATTTAAATATATCTCTCAGTAAGGTAAAATGTGGCCTTTGTTATTTTCCTCCAAACAGATTTATAACTGAAAATTGGCAGCCATCATTGCACCAACAGCATAAATATTATTGTTTCGGTTGAAAGATTTGTACACTACATTCAATGACCCAATCAATGATCAAAATAAGTTACACTATACACATCCATATTGAGTTTCAATAAATATTTTTAGGTGCAATTTTTAAGCCACTCTGAAAATACTCGTGCTATAAACAATTGATATTAATTTAGCCCAGGAACTTCTCTCACGTCTGAGTCATGAGAAAAATTTTGTTGAAGGGAACCCAGGTTGCCCTCTAATGGATATACTTATTGCCATCATAATATCCAAATATAAAGAGGTCGCCAAACATAACCCATACCATCTTTCACCTTTAATGGGTTGTTATAGGAATGAAAAAAAAAAAAAAAAAATTAATAGGAAGTTAGAAGTAGAAAACTTACCAGTTTCTGTGGGAGGTGTTTTTGTTTTTGGCCGCATTGTGCATAAGCAAAGTATAAGTACACATACAATGGAAAAGAAGAGAATGCCAGTCACTATTCCGAGAATAAGAACCAAATTTGAATGCCTTCCCCTGTCTGAAGTACTCAATAATTTAGTTGGAGGTGCACGTCTATGTGGAGCTTTCCTAGGTGATGTAGCAATTGTAGGAGCTGCATTAGAATTCAATTACATGTTGTTATATTAATACATACATTTTATCTTAACATATGATTTAAGCCCTGTGAAGAGGCAGTTGTTTGAAGTTCCTCTACCAAAGGATTGAATTCAGTAACCACAAAAAAAGAATCTGGTACCACAGCAGATTACTTGTGTACATCTCTTCTAAAGCATTGAGAAACCAAAGGAGCATTGGACAATGTTATATAAAATTAGATATAACTCATTAAAGTTATACGAAAATGTGGCAACAATCCAACAAGGAAGACTAACACACATGCATTGAAGTGTTTGTAGTTGTGTAATCACATGCAAACTCTTGGATTTGGGTTCGCCTCAAGTCAAACTTAAAATCTACCTCATAAGGTGAGAATTGTCCTAGCCTTTATAAACTCTATTTTGGTTGTATCTATAGTCAATAGGGATCTTAGCATACCCTCCTCATGACCCGGATTGGACATCTAAAGCATGGTTATAGTAAGACTTTTTTATACTAGGAAAGCCCTTTGACAAGTAGTATTTTGGACAGTTGAGGGTGGACCGATATCAAAGCTATGATAAATTTTAATACGAACTTAAATTTTAGCTAGGCCTTACTCAACCTCGAAAACTAAATTTATGGAGGTGAAGATAGGCCAAATCTTATATAGTCCAAATGTTATAAACTCTAATTCGTACATATTTATAATTGATATGAGATCTTATCAGAAACCACAAGCATAGATAGCTAAACAGTTCGATGTTTATGACTTAATAGGAATATTCAAATAACTATCCCAATTAACATTTCACGATTACTATGTAGCAGAAACTTTCATAAGTATCAAAGTTATATGATTCACGTTTGTTAGTAAAATAAAAATGAATCAAGAAACATCAAAACATGACAACTATAAGCACTCGAAAGCAAGATCAATCAATAGATTATTCCTTGTAGCATAAAATATCTCTCTTCCTTCCTCATCATTTAGCAGCAACATTTAAAAAAGAGACACGAAATTAAAACAATAAAATGGAAGTAGTTAAGACAGTAAGATTTAAATATATTAAAAAGGTTCCAAATAAACACTATGTGTGTTTTACACCACAATATTACTGTAAGTGTTAGTTCCAATTATCAACAACACCAAAACATCATGCATGATTCATAACGACATGTTGGATAATTTTGGATACCTTGAGAAGGAGGCGGAGCTTTAAACCAGGTTATATTTAGGACACTGTAGTTGCCCACAAATCTGCGGTCTAGTTGGACCTTATGCAATGAAAGCGACGAGTTTATTTTAGCGGCTTCATTGGCCGAGAAACTGATCCCTTTATTTGGAGTGATATCCATCGATATATTCAAGGTCGATAAGCTCAGTAGGTAAAATTTAATAATTTCAATTTGGGTAGTCTGCAGCCCAAGTTGGGTGGCCAAATCATTGAGGAAAACATTCCAGTCGGGGTTTAGAGAGACATTCAAAAGAAGCAAGTCAAGCTTTATGGGATAAGCACAGTGGCAAACCTCACTGCCTCGTTTCCACACCATGTCTTGTTTGCAACAATCTGGCGGAATAAAGAGAGATAATATTTTATAGTAAATTAATCCAGCAATTAAAAATTTGAAAAACACATTCCGAGTAACAGATAGGAGCAAAAGAAAACCAATTTCAAGTAAACCCCAATTTAACCCCTAAATTTGTGAGAGTAGTCACTAGAATTAGAAAATTATCAATTTTTTAATTTTTGAAGCATAAATTCCAATCATTTCAGTCTCTGAAATGTACAACTCACTATCATTTGTTCCTAAATTTTATAACCTTCTATCATTACAGCTCCTAACAGAAATTATAGGACAGAACTTTACAAGTTCAGGAACTAAAATAAGGTTTAACTCCATTAGAAATTAATTTTTGCTCGAGTTACCGGAAACATAAGGGGACAATGGTGGTTGAGCGAGAGCAGAAGGAATTGCATCAGCAATGGGATGCACAGGGGCAATACTCTTAAACCCAGAACCCGGAGGTTCTAACTGTGCTCTTCCTTTGGTGAAATTGACACTTGATGGAATTGGTGCAGGCAAATGCTTCAACCCAAGAGCATTTGCCAGCAGTGGCAGATCACCATCAACAACAGGTGGTGCAGCAGATGAAGATAAAGACGGTGCTTCATGTGGCAGTGTTCTACCACATGCACCATACTCAACCTCAAACCACACCATGCAAAATAACACCACAAGCAACCATTTCAACCCACCTGCATTATTTGCCAAATGTCAAACAAATCCAACCTAACAAAAAAAAAACTCACGGTTGGTTCACACACGAAAACCTATCATTACCGATTAGAGTGGTGGAAACGGCGAGCAGCGACATCAGCGATGCCGGCGGGAACGGTCCAGATTAGATCTACAGAGTTGGGATAAAATCAACGGCGGGAAGTAAGTTGGGGAGTGAAGTGGGACTCCGAATGAAGACGATGTACATAACTGAGTTGAATCGGAGTTGTCACTGTTACCGGTTACTAACTTGTTACTAGCCGGTGGCCTGAGGGAGAAGGTTTGGGTTTGGGGGAAAAATGGGTGTGGGGTGAGCGACGGTGTTAGTTTGTGTGGTTTTTTGGTGTGTAAGGGGTTAATTGTGTTGCGGGTCCCTCCCTCTCGAAGGTGGTGGCCACCGTTAACGGAAAAAAGAACGACATTAACGGTAAACTAACGGTAAGAGATTATTTGGAGGACAGGTACCTTTCTTGAAAAACATTACACAAGTGAAGTGATAAGGAGTCTCATTACGTCTCTTCTCTATCTTTCCACGCTGCGTCACCACAGGAGATTATTTGTTCAACGCAGAAATATTACAATAAAACGTTCTCAGAATAATAATAATTCATCCATCGTTTTCCAAAATCTAATGGAGTTACTACTTGATATTTAATGTATAAAAAATAATCTAACTATTTTCTTCATAATTTAATTTTCCATCAAGTTATTTTTAAAATACATTTTTGAACTTTTATTACAAAATATATTTTCAAAAATTAACAACCAATTTTTAAATGTATTAATGGTTGATTTTTTTTTTTGTATCATTGACTTTTGTGAAGCATATAAATACAACATTCACTCGTTTATTACTAAAGTAGATATCTTTATTAGGTCGGTAGTAATATAAATAATTTGTATTGATTGAAAAGTCATCGAGTTAATTAAGTGATGCTACTAAATATAACTACCATTTTAAATATCTAACGCTATGAATGTCTCTATATAAAATTTAATTTTATGGCATCATTAAAATTAAATAATATAATTATTTTTTACAAGTCTTCCTAATTTGATATTTGTATCTTATATATAAAATGTGAGATAGAAATTAGACATTCATTAATGAAAAATTCTTAATAAAATCACAAAATAAAAATAAATAAGAAATAATTTAATTCTACAAAATAAATTCAACCAGTAAATTTTCATTATTCTTTAAGAAACTAAAATAATAAATAAATAAAATGTAATTTCAGTACGTTTAAACCTAAAATAAATGTTTTTGAAATAAGCATTTTTTTTAAATAAAAAGCAGATAAATTTTGTTCAATAAAACAGAAAACGTCAGATTTTTAAAATAAATTAAACAAAACATAAAAAAAATAGAAATCTATGTATTTATTAAATACTTTTTATATAATTGTTAGGAGGAAATCGAGAAAAGCGATCGAGAAATGAAAGAAATAAAAATCGAGAAACATGTGATCGATCGATAACGCGAAGAGGTGAATGAGAAATCATTCGATGTCCAATTAGAAGGGTGTGGCACACAAAATCGAAAGATTAGAGTAGGAATCAAAGGAACAATAGTTAAAAGTTTATTGTGGAACAAACCAAGAAATTAGAAGTATATGACGTTAAGGCTAAAAAGAACCAAAAGTAATTCAAAGTTCTCGATAAAATCGAATCAAGGGGAAGGCTAACCTACGTGGATATCAAAACCCTGGCCAAATTGTGAAGAGAAGAACAGTCAAGCACATATATGGGAAGCAGTTTCTAAATCATGGTAGAAATTGAAGATCGTGAGAACGTGGGTACAGTATTGAAACCATAGAAGATAAACTGCAACACGCACGTAGAACGTGGTAGCAGTTTTGTTAACTGCTCCTGGAAGGTTTGAATGATGTCCTATAAATAGAGCAAAAGAGGAAGGAATGAGCAGCAGAAAATTGGCAGAGAACAGAATTAGTAGTGAGAAGTCTACCGGAACATGACGAACACCATGAAGCTTCTGGCAATCTGGATTTCCATGCTCATCGAGTACCTTTACCGCTTTCTTTACTTTCCTTGGTAATTTATTTTGATGCACCTTATATTCAGCAATTTTATGTTTTTGTTCTTTCGATTCCTTGTCATTTCAATTAAATGAAAGTTAAGTTTCCGCGTTTTAAGTTTCCTTGTCCTTTAACATTGATGCAATTTCGATTTCCAGTATATTTTTTGCAATCTTGATTCCTTGCCATTTACATTTCCGTTCTTTCGATTCCTTGTCATTTACATTTAACATATTTTTAAGGTTTCTGCATTTTACGGGTTTCAACAATTTAGTATCCTGTATTGTTTTTCGATTCGACGTTTTATTGATTTCTGCATCTTAAATACAAAACACCAAAAAGTAGCATTTTCGATACTAGGTAAGGTTCGATCCTCATACACATTTCGATTGAAAATTAATTTGCTAGCCTATGTAAAAAGATCTTATGTGGTAGAATTTTGGTTAGTATCAAAACATCTCAGGGGTTGAAATCAATCGAAATTCCACCAGAAACAAATTGGCGCGCCAGGTAGGGGGCCACTTGTGTTGAAAATACACAAAATTGGTTAGTTCGAAAGTGTATGAGATTAAGGAGTGGGAGAGTTATAAGAATGAGTCAAAATCCATCAAATAACCAGAGTAATAGTGAGGGTCTAAATGGTGTACATTCACCAAATACTAGGGGGCAAAGTCATAATGGGAATATGTCTGTAACATCGACAACTGCGAGTATGTCAATACCTGCGGGTAATGAACAAAATTCAGGCACCTTAGCAAATACCCAAGTAGGATCTAGTGTGGTGGTACCAAATAATATGCAAATTGTGGGAAACCCCACAACCACATATGTAGGGCCATATATGAGTGGAAGACCTCCTGGGTTTTCACTTAATAATATAAGTGGAGCTGGAACTTCTTCAGCACAGCGGAATTCAAGATATAACTTAGGAATGCCTCAAACACTAGGTATGCCCCAAAATTTTGGAGTCCCTCCGAATTTAGGGACATCTCAAAACTTAGCAATCCCCCTGAATTCAAGAAGTGGGCAGAATTTAGGTACACAACAAACGCTTCCAAATCTAGATCATAGAGGAAATCTAGATCATAGAGGAAATTTGGAACATGGAAGGTACATATTCGACAGAGATTATCATTGATCCAATTTTGAGATTATCGAAAACACTGGTACTGGGATATCCAGTAACTCATTAGGGATACTTAGACAACAAATGGATGAGAGCAATTTTGAGATGGTGAATATGTTATCACAACAGTTGACTACAGTTTTAAATCCATTAGTTCAAAACACTACTGCTAGTTTTGAGATATTAGCAGACCAAATGTCACGAATCGGGGATGCATTGGCTGTACCTCGACAAACAAGGGTAGAAAATCATGCTAACCAGAATGCTAATATCAATCCCCCGTATCTATTGAAGAGAAATAGAAACAATGATCAACACCAACATGTGAGGAATGATATTTATGGGAATTTGAATGAGGGATTTCAAAATATGTACAATCAGAATAACATGTTAGGACAGAGGGTGAATTTACAAGGGATGGAATTTAGACCACCAAATCAAACGTACTTTGTGTCACCTTTTCCAAATGCGATTCTCAAGACAGAATTACCTCGAGGATACAAAGTGCCTAAATTCACCAAATTCGCTGGAGAGGTTGGTGAATCAACTATCGAGCATGTAGCTTGATATCAGATCGAATGTGGGGACCTAGCGATAAGTGAGGAATTAAAGATGAAATATTTCCCTAGTTCTTTGACTAAGAATGCGTTTACTTGGTTTACCTCGTTGCCACCTAATTCGATTTATAATTGGCTGCAACTGGAGAGAAATTTTCATGAGCAATTCTTTAGAGGAGAAACTCAAGTAAGTCTTGTTGATTTGATGAATATAAAAAGTTACAATCATGAAAGCATAGATGATTATTTGAATCGATTTAGACAAATGAAGTCGAGATGTTTCACTCAAATTCCCGAATATGAGTTAGTCAGAATGACCTCTGCAGGCTTAGAATTCTCGATTAGGAAAAAATTAGTCAATTTGTCATTGAATGACATGGCTCAATTAGCCGATAAAGTAAGGAGAGTGGAACAAATCGAGTACGAAAAACAAAGGTATAAGAAATATGAGAAACCCTTAAAAAAAGAAAGAGTAGCATATATAAATGATTTGTATGAGACAGATACCATGACAGAAAATGATATTGAAGAAACTGTCGATGAGAAAGTGAACATAGCAGAACTTAAAGTAGTGGCTCCATATATCTGTAAACTGCTACAAAAGAATGAAGTGAAAGATAAGATGGCAAATCGAACATATACTTTCGATGTGACAAAAGCTGATAAAATCTTTGATATTTTATTAAAAGACAAACAAATTAAGTTGAGTGAAGATCATAAATTGCCTTCAGCAGAACAAAGGAATGGTCGAAAATATTGTAAATTTCATAATATTTTTGGACATTGGACTAACAATTGTATACATTTCAGGAATACGATCCAAGATGCGATTGACCAAGGAAGACTGAAATTTGAAGAGATGTCAATGAAAGTGGACACGAGTCCATTCGAAGTACAAGTGGGGTATATTGAATCCCAAACGGGCATGACTGAGGATGTCCGAGTGACGAATTCTGCTTTTATAGGTATGGTCGATGTTACTGAAGACATTGATCCTAAACATGTCAGAATGGATGTGTCTGAAGAAGATATGGAATTCGATCTGAGTGAATTCGAAAAGGAATTCGAGAGGGAAATTTATCCTCGGTCGGGAGATTCTCTCCTCGAGTTTTTGAACGAAAGAAAGGAAAAGATGAAGATGTGTCGTTATGTCCGCGATGCGGTGCGGTCTTCGACAAGTCAGCCGCTAAGGCTTTCGAGTAGAACGAGATAAAGAAAATCGAGAGTCAGAATGAAAGGAAGAATGACAAAGTGGATCAAGCAAGCCAACCGACGATCGAAGAAAGCCAACAGAAATCCGATGGTTCTGGTGTCAGTGGGAATCAAAGACAATGGGTAAAAAGAGCGATGTATCCTTCTCGAAGAGGAGGAAGTA